ATGCCCGTGGGTGATGTACAGGCCCTCTCTGAAAGCGAGGATGAGGGCCCCCTCATCCCAGAGGTACCTTTGCCGATTCGGCAGCCCAGGAAACGAAAGCGCAATTCAGGCCCAAGGCCACCAGAGATTGAAAGCGCACAGCAAGATTCAGCACATGATCTGAGAGCCCTTCTTGGCAAACGATGCAAGTGCAAACGCAGAGACTGTATGTCCCTATTCACTGGTGAAAGGTTTCAACCCTTGCTGGAGTACAGGAAATCTTTTCTGGCGATGCACAAGCTTGACAAAGACCACGCAGTTCCATGATGAAATGGCTCATGGTCTACATTTTTTGTCTTGTGTGGCGTTGTCCAAGATGATTTTGATTTTTCAGCCTTTCAGGTCAACACAGTCCCTGCTTTTTGTCATCCTAACCCTGAGGTTCTACATGCCATCCGAGACCTCTGGAATGCGAGTGAATCTGATGGCTCTCATGTTGAATGGACGTTGCTGGGCCACACGGTTTGCCTCCGAACGTGGAAGAAGCTGCATGGCATTGGAGCCTTGTTTAAAAGATGAAACCTGGAACCCCTTTGAACTTTAAGGTTGTCCGAAGCGATATTAAGGACATGTTCCTGTAGCAACATATTTACCTACCACCCCACATTCAAGTCTGGAACGACGGTAAAAATCTTTCTGGACCTTCAGAAACGCATTGTATTTGGAATGAAATGAATCACTGTTAGGATCTTGGGGTTATCAGGGCAGGATAGTGGACGAGGTAACATCTGCCGTCATCAAGTTGTTGGTGGAAACAATCAGATTCAGATGAGCTGGGGGATTGAAACTTATGCGTGTTTTCCACTCATTGTGACCTGCGAGTTGGGATTTTCTGGGCTTCATCTTTTAACTGGCCCTCTTTCCTAACAAAGGTTAGTAGGAATAAAATTTGTGACCTTGGATAGTGGATGAGCAGAGTCGCATACCACATGTCCAAGACCACCAGCTGTTCTAGAGAAAACGAACTCAAATTCAGAACTATAGATCAGTTACTTGTCGAAACTGAGATTCACAGAGTATCTTCGAGAAGTAAAAGGAAGTACCGAGCTGGTCTTTGTCAGTATGATGTCAGCTCTCAGAGCCAGCTCCTGCTGGCAGTGTGGCCCCATGATTTTTGTGCGTAGAAGTAGCTAACAATAAACTTTGGAGCAATCGCTCATGTCACTGAGGGAGCCGACGATTTGGCAAACTGATGAAAGCAGCCAGCGAGGGCAAAACGGTTCCACCCCTTGATCTTCGGTATTTGGCCCGGAACAATGAACACACTGCACAAAAAGATCAGACTCGGGGAGATGTGGCATCATTTCTGCATCAGCTCTTTCACTCCTGCGCCGAGACTCTTCCGGATGTCCGTGACGATCCTCTGAGTCTTCAGGAAGAAGTGGATTTGGCAGATTTGGAGGCTAAGAATGGGGAGCCGGATTTGGATCCTTATGCTCAAAAGTTAGCAGCGGTTGCCAGTGGTAGGGAAGTCTTGCCTGCCAGAGAGGAGAAGGTTGTCAAAAAGAGAAAGTTGCGGAAAGGCGTACGTGTGAATCCTCTCCGGTCAGCTGAAGAGACCCGGTATTTGCCACCCGGGTGTATGAGAGACCATTGGGAACAATATCGATTGGTCTCATCTTTGGAAAAGCCAGCCAGTTTCCCGACATTCTGGAGAGTTTCTTAACACACCAACTTGGCATTTTTTGATTTCTGATGGGGACCGCAACCATTTCTCCCCACCTGCCACAAAAGGGTTGTTGGATTTTATACGGGCTCTTCTCCTTCTAACAAGATTTCCCTTGAAAGAGGTCCTCGAGGGGGAATGGGGTCCTGGGTTACGCGCGCAGTGTGCCCAGGACCCCTTTCACTCCGAGGACCCCTTCCAAAGGA